AATTGGAGTAACCAGATGATTCCAAACTTCACCGTGTGTTCTATGTCTCCCTCCTAAAAAAAAGGATAGGAGATAATGGGAAGGTTGAGCCAATTTTACCTCCTATTTCTATGGACCAACCTATGGACCCTTTACCACAAGCTATTTTGAATAGCAAGATAAATAAGGGAGGTGAAGAAATCTTGGTTCACTGGCAAAATCTTTCTCCAGCAGATGCTATGTAGGAAGACGTGGAATTTTCTAAGCCTCGATCTCCTTATTTCATCCTTGATGACAAGGATGTTTTTATGGAGGATGGAGTTGTTAGAAGCAAAATTGGCAAGATAGTACATGCATAGGAATTGCAACATGGATGTATGGCAAGGTAGCAAGTATACAATGATTGCAAGGTAGAGATGGACTGCAATTATGGTTTCCAGTCGAGACTTATCGAATAAAGATTTAAATAATAATGGAAGAACTTATTTTAGGTATCAATTATATTATTCCTTCCTTTAATAATTGTAAGCCGTACAGCTATTTAAAGTCAAGACTATTATCAATAAAATTATCAAAAAAGTATTTTCATCTCAACCTTATGTTGAATTAAGGAGGACCAATGCACCTCGAATTGCGTTAACAAGGAGGATAGGATCCTTCAGAATATCCTAGATAATTCATATTACTATTCAAGATTGGGAAGTTGCGGAGAACTGATCTGGGAGCCTTTCTAGCCAACAAGTATCAAACTCGATCCGTTACTAAGCGATACAACACATTGCCGTATACTTTACCTCAAAGATGCAACTAGAGACTAAATCATGAACCTCCAACAATTAGGTCATCTTACAAGAGTGAATACATAACCTGTAGTAGATCTCCTATCATCTAAATCCCCTGCATATTTAGCATCCACATATCCACAGCCGAAGGATCATTTTGTTATCTACTAAACATGATATCATAGTCTGTAGTACTCCTCAAGTGTCTGAAAATCGACTTGACTACATATTAATATTGTCCTCATGGACTTGCCAATAACTTTCTCACCATACAAACTGTAGCATAAATCGAATACCCCAATACACAAGCATATGGAAACTTTAAAATCTCTCTCCTTGTGAATCTCTATCCCAAGAATCTTCTCAACAAAATATTCAGTTTGTTGACTTGACTCATACTCATAGTAGCAATTAACATTACATCTAAATAAATTAACAAAAAAATAAATGAACCATCATTAAGGCACTTCACATAAACGCAACAATCATACTCACATCTCTTATAGCCAATCCGAATCATATTGGAGTCAAATCGTTCTACTACAGTAGAGTGGCCCACAAAGTAATTTTCTTAATTTAAAAGACCCAGTGCTAATGTCGAGGCTTACTAAACCATTCTTACAACTTCATGTAAATCCACTCCACTGGATCACCATATAGAAAAGCTGTCTTTTTATTCATCTGCTCCAACTACATGTCCAGATGTACTACTAAATCCAACACTGCTCTACATAGGAGAAAAACTCATCATAGTCAACCATTTTCCTTTGTCAATAAGCCAACCTTGAACTTTTTCCCCTCTTTTTCAGATATTACTTCTTTCTTCTTATACACCCATTTGCATCCTATTACGCTCATTCCCTCTGAAAGCTCCTTAATTTCCATATCTAGTTCTTATGTAAAGACTCAATCTCCTCAACCATAGTACCCATCCATCTACTATTCTATTTATTATTCATAGATTTTTGAAATGTAGTAAGATCCTTGTTACGGGTAAGAAGTGCATAAAAAACCAAATCTTTAAAACCATACTAGTGAGTAGCCTAATGTGCTCCAGTCCATTCCGTATCTAGAACATGTTGCATTCTACACATTGTCCTCTCTGACATTAGTCTCTAACTCTATATGCATCACATGCTCACTGTTGCAATTATATGGCACCTACTTCTCTTCTCCCTTAGTAAGTTGCAACATGGACTTTTCATAAAAAAATCACATCTCCACTGAACACATTGTTTACCATTGGATCCCAAAGTTTGAGCCCTTTCACTACTTTTTGATATCCTAGAATTATGCATTATTTCAATTTCGCATCAAACTTTAGTCTCTCTTCCCTAGAAACATTGTATAGGTTGGACAACTATACGCTCTCAAACCACAGTAGTCTATCACACTGTTTATTCACATCTTTTCCTCTATCTTCCAATCTATTGCTACTCTAGGAGACCTTTTATTCAAGATACATGCCATACTATATCTACCTATAACTTTGCAAGCCCTGCATTCAAGCTGAAACACCTGGTTCTTATTCTATTGTCATGTTTATTCCTTCTCTTAAACCATTATATTCTGGTATCTTACATACTGTATAATGTCTCTTAATCCCATGATGCTCACAGAATTCTATGAACTTTGAATCTGTAAACCTAGTAACATTGTTTGATCTGAGGCATTTCATACCTCCCTGATTAGTTTTCTGCTTCAACTTTCCAGAGCTTGAACTTGGTAAAGTGACTTGTACTGCTTGAATACATCCAAAACTTTATTAAGTAATCATCAACAAAACTCACAAAATATATATATCCTCTTTGTGATGCTATCCTTAATGGCCCATAAACATAGTTAATAGTCATCTTTGTGTTGTTGTTCCCCAATAACATAATACTTGTAGAAATCAAGATTGTATGTTTTAACACCCTTCAATATGTTATTCTTATGAAGCTCCAGCATACCATGCTGACCCATATGATCCAATCACATATCCACAAGACTTTATTCCCTGACTCGGGCTCTACAGCAAGAACTCCACATATCAATATTCTTTGCAAATTTCTTCTCCTATCACAGTCATGATAACTATATTTACCTTCATTACTTCATTATTAGACAAATTACTAAACTCTTTAGAGTATAAAATATCCAATGATGTTAGTTACTTCCTTACATTCGGCATATGTCTAACATCACATGAAGTTCTAACAATACCATCAAACATTGTAATTTTGAATTTCCTATTCCCAAAATTCTACAAAATACATCGTTCCCCAATAGAACAGAACCAAAATTTACTAACATGTAGGTGTCAAACCAATCTTTATTTATTGATTGATAAGTGCATTTTATACACTTATTTCATTCATTAAACTAGAGCAATTTTTGTCATTTAGGATGAATTGATGCTTAACTTAATACATATTTCGTTTGTTAGGTGTAACTCAAGGCAAAAAAATGAAATTGAACAAAAGAGCAGGAAATTTGCTAACTCAAGCTTAATCAAAAGTTTGGGGACTAAATCGCAAAGTACCAAGAGTTGATTCGGACCTAATGTTGATGATTTAAGAAAAGCTAGAGGATATTAAATAGTATTGGAGGATGAATGATGAAGAAAATGTTAATATGAACCAAAAGGAACGAAGAATGAACTATAGGGACCAAAGTGCAACACATGAAAAAATTTCACAGTGGCACGTGCGTGCAAGCCAATACTCTCACATGTGCACGGGCTTGAATTTCATATGCAAAATATAGAAGTGATATGCGGCGTGCATGCAAGAAAGTATACCGCGCGTGCATGCATTTTCTGAAAAAAATAATCAAGCAAATTCAGTTTTTAACACAAACTCTTACGAAAATAAAATCTATCATACTACTTAACCTAGAGGGATGAACAGAACAGCGTTTTCTTCTTCGAGAGGGAAAAAGAGGATTGCAAGGAGAAAATCTCAAGAGGCAAAGATCAACAAAAGCAATTGCAAGAAGATTGACGATGATTGGGGGAAGAATTCACGCAACCCAGCTAGTTTTTCCTTTTGTTCCCTACTTCTTCTCCGTGTTCTTTATTGTGTATTTTAGCATGTCAATCAATTCCATTATGAACTAGACTTCAATCCTAGCGATTTGATGTAGCCTACTTAGACACATTTTAATTCCTATATAAATATTTCAATTAATCTTTCCGGTTATTTATTTATATTGTTCTGACATAATGCTTTCAATTAACTGGCCACTAATTGATTGATTTGATGCTTTAAATTTTGATGCTCGAGAGAGTTAAATTTAGGTGTGATCTAAGAATAACATAATCTAGATTTTGAGAGAAAGTGCGGATCTTAGATGTTAATTCCACTTAAAGAACTAGGCTCTTTGATAATTTCTATATGTTAGTTTGGAATAGAGATATTGGAATTAAAATATAGAAATAAATTTTATTTGGTGCTCGAGAGAGGGAAATGGAATCAATTTAGAGTTCTTGTTTATAAATTTTGGAAAGATTGATAGAAATAGTTATAACGGTTGTAAAACATCATCGATAGTACAATGGAATCACTCCCTAAGCATTCATAATTTGATAAGAAACTTTATAAATTGGTCTTATTCACTTTGCATCGTTCATCCCATTCATTTTAATTTAGCAATAAAATATCGTTTCAAAAATTAATTGTCTAAATAAAGTGAAAGTTAAAATAATTATAGTACTTGATAGGATTCAAATATCAATCCCTATGGGTTCAACACTCTTACTCTACTACTATATTACAAAACTTGATACCGTACACTTATGGTATTAAATCACGTTACATAAATCGTGTGTCAAGTTTTTGGCGTCGTTGCCAAGGATTGATTTATTTGAATTCGATTGATATTATTACCAATTGGCTTTCATTTTAATTTGGATTTCTATCTTAACTTTAATTTTTTTTTTTTATCTATCTTGTGTCTGTTTCTAAAAGCTTCCTTGTTCTTATTTTCAGCTATTTTTGCGAAGAGCTAGAAATCTTGACTCACTACCTGTTGATCCTGAACCAGAACGTACATTCCATCTTCTAAGGGGTATTCAGAGACACAATCATACAGCAATGGTAGAACAAGATCTACTAATGGCAAATCAGAACCATCAGAATGGTCAACAATGGGCTATAAGGGACTATATCGGACCAATTGTCAACGAAAAATTACTTCGGTATTGCATGCCCAGCTATTACTGCTAACAACTTTGAACTGAAACTAAGACTTGTACACATGGTGCAACAGAATCAGTTTGGAGGAGCTTCAACAGAAGAACCAAATTCTCATCTGGGGTCCTTTCTGGAGATCTGTGATACAGTGAAAATGAATGGCGTTACCGAAGTTGCAATCCGACTTTGTCTATTTTCCTTTTCCTTAAGAGACAAAGCTAAAGCATGGTTCCAATTATAGCCGTATGGATCCATCACAATTTGGGAGGGGTTAGCACAAAAGTTTTTTACTAAATTCTTTCCACGGCAGCGCAATTGCGGGGTGAAATTGGGCAATTCCAACAGTCAAACATCGAATAGTTCTATGAGGCATGGGAGAGATATAAAGATGTATTCAGAAGACGTCCTCAGCATGGTTACCTGGATAGGTTGCAGATACAAACCTTCTATAGCGGTTTGAATGGTCAGACACCTATAGTGGTAGATTCTGCAGCAGGGAGTGCATTATTATCCAAGATTCCAGATGAGGCTTATGCATTATTGGATGAGATAGCTACTAATAACTATCAATGGCCGAGTGAGCGTCCAAGTGCAAAGAAAGTTGCTGGCCTTTATGAGGTGGATCCCATTACCTCCGTTACAACTCAAATGTCATCTTTCACTAATCAAATAGCTGCATTGACTTCATATGGATCGCAAAAGAAATCAGAATCTATTCTGGTTACATCCACTGCATACTAGAAAGCTGAAAGAGAGAATTAACAACTTCAGTATATGAACGATCGGAACTTTAATCAAAAGGGAACGAAAGCCATCACAAGAAGATATTTTAGGAACCTTCATTTCGGAGACCAAATTGAGGTTCAACAAAGATGAGGCAAAACTTGACAAAATTGAGACTCATATGACCAACTTAGGGGCCACAGTGAAGAATTTGGAGGTACAAATTGGTCAGATAGCAACTGCGATACAGTCCCTACAGAAAGGAAAATTTCCCAATGATACGGAGGTCAACCCAAGGGAACACTACAATGCTATCACCTTAAGGATTGGTAAAGTAGTTGACGAACGCAAGCCTAAAGAGGTTGTGGCACCTACATCGGATCCCATACTTGTAGGAGAAAAGCAGACTGAAGAGCAGAAATCTGAGGTAGAGACAAAAAAGAAGATTTATAAACCTTACTCAATTTTATTTCCAAACAACCCACCTATCTTGAAGCACCCACTACCATTCCCGCAAAGGTATTTGAAGAAAGAGTTTGATGAAAAATTCGCAAAGTTTTTGGAGGTCTTCAAAAAAATCCACATCAACATCCCCTTTGCAGAAGCTTTGGCCCAAATGCTTAACTATGCCAAGTTCTTAAAGGAATTGATGTCAAAGAAGAAAAAGTTGGAGAAGTTCGAGATTGTTAAGTTGATATAAGAATGTAGTGCTATACTTCAGAAGAAACTCCCTCACAAATAGAAAGATCCGGGCAGCTTCAACATCCCGTGCAATATTGGTGGTAACACGTTTGATAGGGCATTGTGTGACCTTGGAGCTAGCATAAACTTGATGCCCTTATCAGTGTTCATAAAACTGGGTCTTGGAGAGGTAAAACCCACAACCCTCACCTTGCAACTAGCAGAAAGATCGATCACATATCCTAAGGGCATTATTGAAGATGTATTGGTGAAGGTTGATAAGTTCACCTTTCCGTTGGACTTTGTGGCATTGGACATGGAGGAGGATGAGAAAGTACCATTGATTCTTGGTCGAACTTTCTTAGCTACTGGAAAAGCATTAATTGATGTGCAAGGAGGAAAGTTGACTCTACGGGTTAATGAAGAGCAAGTAACTTTCAACATCCATCAAGAAAAGAAAGTCGCAGAAAAAGGAAAAGTTGACATTTGCAAAATGATCCAATCAGCTGAACTAATTGCAAGAAATAGAGGAAAAGGAAAATTACTTTATGATCCGTTAATGCAATATATGACAATCAGTTACTCGGCAAGGGATGCATCTACCGATGGTAATGACTCAGGAACCAAGAAGGTGATGGATTTCATCTTAGCCCAAGAAGCTAACCCACCTGACAAAAAAGAGAGCTATGTGGATAGGCCTTTGAAACCTCCAAACATTGCCAAATCAAAAAAGGTCCTGAAGGCCATACCGGGATCTAAATCGTATAAGGTTGTTCGCCATTCTACAATGAAGAAGAATACAAAGCCAAGGGTAAAGCTCGAAAATAAGAGAAATGTGCCACCTAAAGATTCTCCATAGGCGTTCAGTTAAGTCTAGCTAGTGACTATAAAGAAGTGCTTCTTGGAAGGATACTCAAGCATTCTTACATTTTCACTTATTTTATTTTATTTCTTTTAAATTATAGGATTGTTTATTTTATTTCAAAGTTTTTATTTAGGAATTCATCAATCCTGTCCGTCCCTCTTAGGTCTTTGAATAATCAAGTTGGTTATTGATGCTCGAGTTAAGTAACACTTGATCTATGAATTTAATATCTACATTTTGAATTTTTAGGAACATGATGTCATGGAACAATCAAACCAACATTAACAAGGAGAAGTTGGATAAATCTCAAGTTTGTGAGGGAAAAAGAGAAGAAGCATCCATCAAATTCAACATCAGAGCACCAGACTGTCATTGGCAATTCAAGGAAGACTTCCTCCTTTTCTTTTAATTTCACATTGGAGACAATGTTCAGTTTAAGTTTGAGGGGAGTGTATGATAAGTTGTCTAATTATCTAATTTTTTTTTATTTTGTGTGATTTGTGTGCATTTTTTTTAGTTGTGTGCATTGTTAACAAAAATTTAAAAATCGTGTTCTGCATGCTTGTGTGAGCTAGATAGTCTTGCCAACAATGATGTGTATTATTAAGAACATGCATTGGTTCATGAATTGTGGACAATTTATGTGTGTGAGTCAAATTTTTACTTATTCATGTGGAACGGAAATTATTTTGCACGTGAGTTGATTGTAGCATTATGCGTGAATAGGTGGATTCATGTTTAGAGGTTGGACTATAGAACTTAGATTGTTAAACCCAATGACCATTAAAGATCAGTATGCCCTTAAACAAAATCTAGGATGTTTGGAGGATTGCACTGTTGTGGAGAAAATTGGAGATAAATGTGGATTCCGTGTGTGCCAATTTTTCTGTAAACAATAGGAGACCAATAGGATGAAAATTGGGTGAAAACCTTAAGTTAGAGGTCAATTTTCGAGAATGAGTGTTTAATAAGGGACATTGCACTAATCATTGCAAAAAAATAAAATAAAGTTCCCAATGAGGATAGCTTTAATAATCTCATTGTGAATCGTCTCTTCATAGCATTTATGATTGAGTGATTAAGCCTGTAAATGTTTAAAACCTAGTGCCCTAAAGTCATATGATTTGGGAGTTATCGTCTAAAGCTCGCTATAGGGGTCATATAGAAAGTTTAAGGGAAGGACGTCCGCACAAAGGGTGATAAAAAAAATGCCTTACTTAAGCCCCAAACACTCATTTTAGAGGATTTGACATGTTGACAAGAGGTTAGTAACTTGGTTAATTCTTAGAGGTTGAAGCAGTCAAAAGTAAGAAAAATCCTCATTTGTTGACATGTGGAACTGTAATCAGTAAAATCTAACGAAACTTGAGTGATATAAGAGATTAGTATTGAAGATTAACCTTAGATTACACCATGGGAAAGAGAAAAGAAAATAAGTTTGGGGGTCTGTGAATCCCACAAGTGAAGTAAGGAAATAGTTGACTTTTAAGGTTGGGAATTGGATCAATTTATTCTTGTACATTGTTGCACTTCTCTCTACACACACACACACACACACCTGTTTTACATTGAATATGTAAGAATTTTAGCTTGTACATTATAACTTTAAAGTGATTCATAGAGTCGATGTTATGGCTTCAATCCTGAGCAATGAAGGCAAGATATCTAATGAAATTTGTTTTAAGTAATTGTGCATTTTAGCTGTGTTTGTGTAAATATTAATGATTTTATTTGATCTGGCCTTTGTTTGAGGACAAACAATTGTTCAAGTTCGGGGATATTTGATAAGTGTATTTTATATACTTATTTCATTCATTACACTGGAACAATTTTTGTTATTTAGGATGAATTGATGCTTAACTTCATACATATTTCATTTGTTAGGTATAACTCGAGGCAAAACAATGAAATTGGACAGAAGAGGGGGAAATTTGCTAACTTAGGCTTAATCAAAAGTTTGAGGACTAAATCGCAAAGTACCCATTGGAGGATGAATGATTAAGAGATGTCAATATAAACCGAAAGGTACGAAGAATGAACTATGGGGACCAAAGTGCAACACATGAAAAAATTTCATAGTGGCATGTGGACACAAGCCAATACTCTCATGCGTGCATAGGCTTGAATTTCATATGCAAAATGTAAAAGTGATATGTAGTACGCACGCAAGGAAGTATACTGCACGCGCGTACATTTTTCGAAAAAAAATCGAGCAGATCCCTTTTTAACACAAACTCTTATGGAAATAAAATTTATCATACTATTTAACCTGGGGGACAAACAAAACGACATTTTCTTCTTCGAAAGGGAAAAAAGAGGATTGCAAGGAGAAAATCTCAAGAAGCAAAGATCAATAAAAGCAATTGCAAGAAGATTGACGACGATTGGGGAAAGAATTCACGCAACACAACTAGTTTTTTCTTTTGTTCCCTACTTCTTCTCCATGTTCTTTATTGTGTATTTTATCATGTCAACTAACGGAGCATGAAAGTTCTGATAGTTTTTGAGAAATTTGGAGATGTGTGTGTTCGGGTTTTCATGAGGCAACCCGTAGAATTGCAGAGTATTACTCATCAAGTTAATCCAATCTAGCCTAATCTAAAAGTTATTCACCCCAAAGTCTGGATACAAGATACTAGAACGCATGGGGGTGCTGCTATAGGTGTCAGGAACATTGAGACTGGTAAATCTCCTTCACTTATTTCCATTTGCTCATGTTCCTGTTTTGGTGGTATAGCTACTCTTGTGGCCACTTGTCCAATTGGCTGAATAGGAATAGGGAGTTGTTGAATGTCAGCCATTTGATGTTACTATTTTTGTTTGTGTTCTTTGCATCTCCATCTGAAGTTACTTTCTATTTCTGAATCAAACGGTTCAAGATCGCTGCCTTCTACACGGAGCATACAATAAACACAATTTTTTTTAAATAAAAGAAAATAAACAAATTAAATGACAGTTAAAAAAAATTAAGACTAAAAGTAATAGTCCCCAACAACGGCGCCAAAAACTTGTCGTCAATTTTATCCTGTAAGTGGACGGATCGTAACAAGAGTAAAGTGGATATTTTGAGTCCGGATTATCGTTCTTACAAGAACTATACTTTAGTACTCAATTTATTATTCCTAACTTCTATTTGATGAAAATAAACAAAAAAAAAATTGATTGAATGTGATTTTTAAATCCAACTACTAAAAATTTGAATGGATGCAACAAAAAGTGATTTAAAATTCAATTGGTCACCTTTACTTCTAATATTGAGATTCATAAAACTAAAGTAGTGTTCAGTCGAATTCTTCAATGGTATTCAATTTACCCCTCTCCGGTCTCGTTGAGCTTGTTTAAATAATTCAACTCCATATCTCTATGCGAATCAATATTATTTAAATGAAATAACAATTCTAAGAAATCCTATAAGACCGTAGCAATTAATATAGGTATCTCTACAAGTTATATTAATTTATCGAATTTTAAT